ACTTCCTTTGTTTAATAAAACCTTTTGTGTTTGTTTGATCAACTCCTGCCTGAGACTCCAAATCATTAAGTTTTCCCTCACACAAGTCTCCCACTAGATAATCTGGGGTAAATTGTAGAAATTCGTGTAATTGGTGTACTGTGAGGTGGCCACACTATATTTCATTGAGGGCTGGCCCAACGCAGCCAGGGTGAGAAAGTGCCATTGCGTTGTCTCATCTTCACTGTCAAATATGTAGGGCAGATCCTTCTATCTAAACTTAATTTCATTAGGAAGGGAGTCTGAAGAACTGAGGCAAATGGAAGTGAGAAGAGACAAAGTTCTATATTGTATCAACACATTAAAAGTGTGGGAGGGAAAATAATCTGGTTCAAATGGAACCCCCAACAATTCTTTAAAAACTCACGTGTGAATTGCTGATCTTCTACAAAAAAAGAGTAACTTATCTCTAAGATCAGCCTCTGCATCTGTAGACTAGAAAGTAGTCATTTTTTTCCAAAAAGATTCAAGAATGCAGTCCAATCAGATTAATATTTGCCCTGAGAAAATTGATGGAAAGTTTTATGAAAGATAGAATTACCAACCAAATAAAAAAGCAAGCCTTGCTGAAAAAGTAACAACTGCCTTTGGAATTGTCTATTATTTGTGAAAGCATAGGATGCAAAACAATATTCTTTTCCCTTTGCACAAACGTCATATTAAGCTCCCCCCCCCAAAAAAAAATAATGTTAAAAAACAAGTAGGCTGCAGAGATATAAGAATGAGAGCTCTTAAATATGCATAGGAGGGAGAATTTGCTAAAGCAACACAAGGTTTTCATTTTCATATTTATAATTTATTACTTCTTCCTACCACTAGGTTTCAGTGTGAATGATATACACTAATGAATGATTAGGTCCAAGAAATGATTATGAACTGCACGACTCAGACTTGAGTTAATAAAAAAACCCACCCTTTGGCAAAACGTACTAAGTAACTACAATGTTTCAGAATTATGCAATGAGCTGCAGTGGTCAAACTGCAGCTTCTTAATAATAAGCTAAAGATTTGCTTTGTTTCCAAACTAACCAAAGTTCAGGACTCGGCTGGGGATATGTGGCTCTCCAAAACTCTCTATCTTTTCCTGAGGCCACACCTGTTGGTAGAGTAGCTAAATTGCAGCTAGGAAGCCAAACCATGTGCAATTTAATCAAAGCTATTGCAATACTTCAAATTCATGCCATTAGTGTTCCTGTTTGAAATTGGGTTCTACGGGGTCCAAAATTGGTTAATCTGCCCCCTGCTCTTACATGTACTGGGCATTTTACTCTGTCCATCATGTGTACTTTCTTAAACAACATATTTATCAGCCCAGCAGCAATTAATTTACTTGTAGAGTGAGAATTTTCAATGCATAAAAGCATCAGAGTAGTTTCGATTCCCATTTCCTTTTCATTATCGCCTTACTACTTGACAGTGAACATTAATTAAACAATGATGCAGGAATATCGAAGAACATTTGAGCCTTGGCTGTGGGGTTGTTGGTTTTTTTGTTTGTTTTTTGAAAACGATATAAAACCTGTGAAAGACATGATGGGCAGTTTCCAACAGCCTTAAATAAGAGTATTTTGGAGAACCAGGAGCCATCAATTCCAGGTGGCCTAGATAAGAAGAAGCATCTTTTGTTATCTGGAGATGGCAGTTGGTATCACACCTTTTGCAGAGGCAGGAGTTCAATTCTTACTGTGGTTCTTGCAGGCTGGGTGGGGTGGCAGCAGCAACAAGAGAGCTGGAGACAGAACTATTTCCAACATGCTTCTCAGGACTGGGTCAATACAGTGGGTTGCTTAAGGCAAAAGATGGCTCCCCTCCTCATTCAGTGTGGGAAAAGTCAACTAGACTGGTAGTAGACTCCAACACTGTAAAAGAGCCAGTGTCTACTGAACTTGAGAGCAGCAAGTTAATTCAAGGTAGACCAAATGGCACAAACACCTTTGCCCTTCAACGCCTCTCCATGGCTGCCAGCCCCCTCAGTATTTGCCAATGGTATGCTCAGGCCTGACTATTCCCTCAGCAGTGAGCAATGCAAGTTCAAAGAGCCACTGAGAATGATCTCATGGAAGAGTTATAGGTTGAACAACTGGGTGATATTGTCTGTTTCACTCAATTTTGTGCTGCTGCTGCTGCTGCTGCTGCTGCTGCTGCTGCTACAACAGCAAGGAGCCCCTCCAGACTGGTGCCGCTCGCTGGTGTATTCTGCGACATGCCAGACACTGCATTCACATCAGATACATAGATCACGACAATGCCAATTTAAACAGTCATGGCTTTCCCCAAAGAATTCAGGGAGATGTAATTTGTTAAAAGCGCTGAGACCCCTATTCCCCTTGTACAGCTACAGTTCCCAGACTTCCCTGTGAAGAGAGATTGACCATTCAACTCCTCTAGGGATTGCTTTGCAAAAATGTGTGCATTAGGAAGAAATTCACACTAAAATGCTGCTGAATTTCCATCAGGATTACTTAAAAAGAAAAATATCGCAACATGATATGGATATATGATTAACTGCACCTAAGCATGGAAGAATGAGAAACAAAGAGAAACCAAAATTAACCGATTTAGCCATCCCCACCAGAAAGCGGTAAAAAAAGGTAAAAAGGTAAAAGACCCCTGGATGGTTAAGTCCAGTTAAAGGCGACTATGGGATTGTGGTGCTCATCTCGCTTTCAGGCCGAGGGAGTCAGCATTTGTCCATAGACAGCTTTCCGGGTCATGAAGCCAGCATGACTAAACTGCTTCCAGTGCAATGAAACACCATGACGGAAACCAGAGTGCATGGAAACACTGTTTACCTTCCCGCTGCAGTGGTACCTATTTATCTACTTGCACTAGCATGCTTTGAACTGCTAGGTTGGCAGGAGCTGGGGCAGAGCAATGGGAGCTCATCTCATCATGGAGATCCGAACCACCAACCTTCTGATTGGCAAGCCCAAAAGGCTCAGTGGTTTAGACCACAGCTCCACCTGTGTCCCACCAGAAAGAGGAGTGCAGGCTGTAAGTGGTAACGGGATGGAGGCTTCTGCTATGGAGTGAAGCAGCTGCAGCCATCCCTACCACAATTTTGACTTTCCTCTTGAGGACTCAGAATGCTCAGGCCAACCTTATCCACATTAAATTAATTTGCTCCATGCTGCGTACTTCTGCACTATAGACACTGCCACCAGATCTGCAAGTCTGCCATTTCTTACAGAACCCCAAATGTGTGCAAAACCTTTTCACTTTGCCGCTTGGAAGGATGCATATATAGAAATACACAAAAGAGAGAGCTGTTGCACAATCCTGTCATTTCTATCCAGCAAAGGCAGAAAAGCATTAATCTGTTTGCTTCGCAGGTGCACTTATCAAGTTTCATATCAGGATGATTTGAAGCAGAACCAAATTTAAACTCAAGGACAAAGGGTACTGATTCACAGAACTGTCATTTAGTGCTTCGGGCGATGCCTTTGCCTGCCTTACACACCTTCAGCATCTGCTTGTTACTCACACAGTTATGTTGCATTCCCAACATGTCCACATTTCCCTTCCAGCACATTGATTTGAGGATTGGATCTGAACATATTCATTCAGCAGAGATAGTATCTGCCAACCAAGGCGACCCCCCCCCCCTCGAGAATGTGACTCCACCCACAGCCAAACAGCAATAAAAGAAAATGACTTCTGGGAACAGGAGCTTCTGGAGGGAAGTGAATTGGAGCACAAGCATGCATATGGATGTTTCATTTTTTATTTATTTTTAACACTCCAGAGGACGAAATGTTACGACGGGTACCAAAAGCCTGATACATAATATCTGTAGCAAGCTGCTAGGGTTAAAAGAGAAGAGATGTTTCATAGCATGTTTGAACAAAATGCAGGCAAGGAACTTGTCACACATGAAAAGGAAACAGCTATGGAGCGGAGATGATCTCTGGAAATCAGCAGCAATGCCAGACCTCTGCCCCGGCAGAGAGGGAGAGAAAAATAACTTGCCAGTGAGAACTGGAACTGACACTACAAAGTAACTGCCGGAAGAGGAGAGACAATGAGAGCTTAGACGTAAGATGTGGACTCGTGAACCTCAGCATCAGCCAAGTAATGTGCAGAGCTGAGTGAATGCTGTGTCTGGATTTTAACCTTTCCCAGGAATATTAGGAAAGGGAACATGAGCTAGCTAATGCTTCAACCCTATAATGGACACTGAATGGTTGTTACACGCCACCAAAATCTCTGAGCCATGAGAGATGCCAGGGTTTCTAGTGTTCTACCCACGGTTTGGTTTCGTTGGAATGAAAGTGTCTTTAGGGTATATTGTCTTTATTTACACCTATATGCAACAGGGGCATAAGATGGAGGGACTCACAGCATTATGCTGACTGATCCTCCGCTCCTCCGTCCAAGGGAAGCGGGTGGCACTGTGGTCTAAACCACTGAGCCTCTTGGGCTTGTCGATCAGAAGGTTGGCGGTTCGAATCCCTGTGATGGGGTGAGCTCCCATTGCTTTGTCCCAGCTCCTGCCAACCTAGCAGTTCGAAAGCACACCAGTGCAAGTACATAAATAGGTACCACTGTGGCAGGAAGGCAAACAGCATTTCCACGCGCTCTGGTTTCCATCACGATATTCCATTGTGCCAGAAGCGGTTTAGTCCTGCTGGCCACATGACCCAGAAAGCTGTCTGTGGACAAACGCCAGCTTCCTCAGCCTGAAGTGAGATGAGCGCCACAATCCCATAGTCAACTTTGACTAGACTTAACTGTCCAGGGGTCTTTTACCTTTTCATTTCTTTTTACCTCCACCCCCCAGCCAAAAAAAGACCCACAGCAATATAAAAGGCAGACGTTCCTGAGAGTGAAGCTATTTCAAGGAGATGGGAATGCTCTAGGTCCAGGGGTGCATAATCTTTTTTGGGGGGCAGGATAATATGCTTTGGGTATATGCTGGCAGAGCTCAAGCCAGTGGTGGGTAAGGCCAGAGTCAAAGGAATCTCTCTCTCTCTCTCTCTCTCTCTCTCTCACACACACACACACACACACACAGAGAGAGAGAGAGAGAGAGAGAGAGAGAGACCATCTTCCTTCTCTCCTTCTCTCCTCTCTTGCTCTCTCCCTTTCCCCCTCTCTTTGTTCCTCTCCACCCAACAGGCTACTGGGAGAAGAACAGGTCTCTCTTCCAAGTGTTCTGAACAGATTGCTTGCAAAGGTCTTTTGAAATAAGGCTGAGGGACACATGCAGCCCAGCCCTGATTCAGGAAGATTGCTGGATAACTAAGCTGCCTATTTACAAATCGCCAGAGAAAGAAAGCATCACCGAAAGGAGGGCACAGATTTGCATAAATTTGCTTATGCTACTTGACACATACATATGTGAATTAAGAAATATGTTGTATTATGTAAATAGAAATACAAAACATCTCACCCTAACAAAGAATACTGGTCACGTACCATGTGCCGGCTAAGTCTCTTATCCCAATGCTTATTGGTGCCGGGCAACATCCAGAGCCCTGCTGCTCTCCATTTTATGGTAATTTATCTTTATTCTGGACTTGGACCAGACAGCCCTTCAAATAAAGGACTCTGAAGACAGCCAGCTCTATTAGTATATAACATCTGAATGAAGAGAGGCTTTGCAGGCCCTGGAGCATGGCCTGGACTCTGTGGTGAGCTGGATAATGGCCAAGAAACTAAGTCTAAATTCTGGCAAGACAGAGGAGCTGTGGGCAAGTGGTTCCTGAGTGTGGATAATTGGCCAATTGCCTGCTTTAGATAGGGTCATATTCTGGGTGTGCTCCTCCATCTATCTCTGCTATTAGAGGCCCAGGTGACTTCAATGTCTTTGACTTTGGCTACTAAGACAGCTATGGCTGTTTCTGGACTGGGATATTCTGACCACTGCCATCCATGTGCTAGTATGCTCCACATGGGATTACTCCAAAGTGTTCTATGTGGGGCTGCCCCCGAGGTCGGTCTGGAAACTGAAGCAAGTGCAAAATGCTTCAGCTGGTCTGCTCACTGAGGCGAAATAACACAAACCATGTCACTCCTGTTCTATAACATCCTCCTATATCTTTTCATGTGACAAATGCTCTGGTTTGTTTTTGTCCCACATTCACTGAACAAGAGTGAACCTCCAGATGGCAATATAGTTGTACCTTGGCAGTTGAACGCCTTGCAAGTCGAATGTTTTGACTCCCGAACACCACAAACCCAGAAGTGAGTGTTCTGGTTGGTGAACATTCTTTGGAACCTGAATGATGTGGGTTCTGCAGTTCTGATGTGGGTTCTGCAGCTTCTGATTGGCTGCAGGAGCTTCCTGCAGCCAACCAGAAGCTATGCCTTGGTTTCCGAATGTTTTGGAAGTCTAACGGACTTCCAGAACAGATCCTGTTCGACTTCTGAGGTACGACTATAATGTGCTGGGGAAGCATCACAGAACAGCTGATCAAGTGGAATGACGTGTGGACAGTCCAGTACAGGTCCACTACTAATGCGCTCTTATGACATCAGTGACATATTGCAGAACACATTCAGAAAAAATACACCGGTCTGGAGGGACCCTCAGAGAATTACAATTAATTGCTAGTGAGATCAACCACAACTACTTGTTGCAGGTCACTTTAAAGAGGGGGCTGGTAGGAAATCCTTCTTTAATGATTTGCAACTGTTTGAGACCACTGGTGGGAAGTAGCTTCCTTCTTAAGGATTTGAAGCATGTGGAGGTCATAGTATTACTTAATTTTATTGAGTGATTGCATTTATCTCCACCTTCTTCCATGACTTTTAGAGAGAGAGAGAGAGAGGGGGCCCTATGCCCCCTTTTGTTCTAGTGAGGTATGTTAGGTTGAGTTTTCATAGAATCATGGAGTTGTAGAGTTGGAAGGGACCCTGTGGATCATCTAGTCCAACCCTCTGCAATGCGGGATTATGCAACATACCTGGGACATACAGGGATCGAACCTGCAACCTTGGCATTATCAGCACCACGCTCTCGCCAAGTAAGCTAACCAGGCTGACAGTTCTACATTGCCTTCTCTGAAAGTTAGCTTCATTGAACTCTTGTGAGTATATCCTGTGATAGAGCTCACAGATTCACTGGCAACATGTGATTTGCGCTCATGATGAATCTTTTCTATAACTAGCTTACAACAAGCACGGCAACCCAAGTTCAGAACGATACCCGTGCAAATCATCTCAGAGTTTGCATTAATTGACAGTTGCAAAGCGGAAAAAGGTCTCTTTGTTCTCTCTCTCTCTTTATAAAGTGGTGCTATGCACAGCCAGATGTATTATAATCTCAACAATTACTTATTGGGCTGAAAAGTGTGTCTCTGAGAATGCCCTCAGTGCAACTTGGAGCTTGAATACATTATATTGTACTGCAACCCACAGGCAGATTTGTTCTACTTCCAAATATGTATTCTAGTTGATATATAGTGTAAGGTGCATTGTTACTATGTCACTGATTGTCAAATTTATTGAGTTAACAAGGAAGAAATATGTCAGGTAAAACCTTAGAAGTTGCTTCAAGGTTCTGGGTAGCAGATGTTTAATGGCTTCATCTATAGCCAGAGGATTTGTTTGGAGACTGTCCTGGAATTAATGGAGTAAGATCTTTTTTCTAGCAATATATTGTGTCCTTTTTAGTGACTTCATATCAAGGGCTTTCGGAAGCTGAGAGAGCTTTTTAAAAAAGGTGAGAAAGTGTGTGTGTGTGTGGCCTGTTCTATAGTTTCTTCATGCATTCAAAAGAACAAATGCAGGCATCAAATCTAGTATTGGGAGTGGGCACAGTGTTTGCCACTCACACCCCAATGTCCCTGTTGATGCTGAGCATGATTGTTGTAGCCTTGACCTTCCCAAGTTGAGCAGGAAGGTCTGAAGCAGGCTTCTAACTGCATTTGCCTAAACATGCTTAGTAGCCTCCTTTCAACTGGGAATCCTGAGCATGAAGGTGTCACAGCACTGTCAACAAGCCAGGACACCTGCAGGGCAGGCACACACACAGAAGGCACAGAATGCTACTAGCTTTTTATTAGCAGAAAAACAACAACCCTGGTTCATCTTAACTCAATGAAGGTGTTGCTGAAACTAAGCTCTGGGCATACCTGTCTCAGGACGATTGGCGGGAGCCACCCCCTCCCCCTGCTCCTGAATCTTCCCAGGAACAAGAGGACAGGGTAGATTTGGAACAGTGGTTTGCAGAGGGGCATAGTTCAGAAGGCAGAAGCTGGGAAATACTGGATGGAGAACAGCTAGAAGAAGAAGAAATTCTGGGGGAGAGAGGGTTAACAGATTCACAGTCATTAGACAGCATTTCTCCACTGCCCTCCCCAAAGTCGAGAAGAGCTCAAGAAGTCACAGACAGAAAGTGCAGAGGGTATAAGCTCAGATTCCAAGACATAGGTGTGACGTAGATTAATAGGGACGGAGGGGTGTGTGCCTTAATTGGGAGCACCGCCATTTCTAGGGAGATGTGTTCTTTTATCTCTCACTGTGATCATTAAAGAAGCTAACTGGTAAGACGTTCCTTTTGTTTGATCTTCTTATTTACTGCCATGGGGAAGGAAGCTGATTCCCTGAAGCCTGATAATGCCCTTCCCCTCTAGCCTCTCATTCTGAATCCCTCCCAAGCAGACAAAGGCTGCGTCGAGCGGTGGTCTCCTCCTCTGGACCTGTCTGGAGCATTGCTCAACAACATGCAGGAGCCTCCTCAAGCGGGGTGTCCTAGGGGGAGGAGAGTCAGCAGGACTGGGACTGCATGCATGCTGTGACTCTCATGTTCCAGTCTTGTCCTGGGGGGCCCTCCTGACTCCCCTTGATCACTCAAGTCTCCTGCTTCTATCAACTCCCAGTTCATCCCTTCAGTAATCCATAATCACTTCATTCCTTTCAGAGAACATTTGGAGGGATGATATAAACATTTTATTTTGGGGGCTGGGTGTTTTTTATTCTTCTTTTTTAACTGATGTCTGCTTTACTGAGCTGTAATCTGATATTGATCCAATACGTGGGAACAGGTAGGATCAAAAGAGAACAGTACAAATAAATACATATTAATCTTTCCAGCTGGACACACAGAAGGCTTAGCTCATTCCACAAATTAAGCCAAACTCATTACTATTTTCTTTATCAGTCTCCAGCTAATATTATTCACCATCATTTATATTATTCATTGTTGATAGCTCAGCCTTCCTCCAAGGAACTCAAAATGACGGCTTGGCTCACGAGAACTTTACGAGGTCCGGTTGGGTTGTAAACGAAGGACTTGTCCAAGGTTAACTTCAAGGTGGGCGGCTGCATACACATTGCCAGAAAAGAAGCAATTCATCATCAAAACCAGGGGACAATAGTTGAAGATTTATGTATATTAATGCATAGGTATAGAGGAGAATCGGGAAATGATTTTCATTATTTAAAATGGAAAATGATCCATCTTAGCATCCCCACCACGGTGGGGAGGACTGTGATCAGGTGACCTGTCTACTTGCTCATTTTGCTATCCAACAAACTGATGGTGAGCCGTTTCAAAGCCCTTGGCTTCTGCTCTCCCTTCTCATGGCTCTTTATGAATCAGCTTCACTTGGACTAGTCACTAGACAGTCCTTCCAATATGCAGGGTTGTCCTCTGTAAAGTATGACACATGTTCCACCCCCTGTTCAAAATTAGCTGTTCCACCATCTGGAGATGCATTCCTGGGAATCATAGGATCTTGACTGTTTTCACACACTAATACCCCTACTATATAATTTTATCAGTTATATTTTATCTGCACAAATTATTATTGTTGTTGTTGTTGTTGTTGTTATGCTACCCATCTGACTGGGTTCCCCCAGCCACTTTGGGCAACTTCCATCAAATCAAAAGACAATAAGACATCAAACATAAAAAGCTTCCCTGAACAGTTCTGTCTTCAGATGTCTTCTAAAAGTCAGATAGCTGTTTATTTCCACAGGGCAGGCGCCACTACCGAGAAGGCCCTCTGCCTGGTTCTCTGTAACCTCACTTCTCTCAGTGAGGGAACCATCAGAAGGCCCTCGGCGCTAGACCTCAGTGAACAATGGGGGTGGAGACACTCCAGCCAAAGTCGTTTAGGACTTTAAAGGTCAGCACCAACACTTTGAATTGTGCTTGGAAATGTACTGGGAACCAATGTAGATCCCTTTGGACTGGTGTTATAAGGTCCCGGCAGCTGCTCCCAGTCACCTGACTGGCAGCCATATTCTGGATTAGTTGTAGTTTCTGAGTCACCATGAAAGGTAGCCCCATGTAAACTGTATTGCAGTAGTCCAAGCGGGAGATAACAATGCATGCACCATTCTGGTGAGACAGGGCATAGGCAGGTAGGGTCTCTGCTGGTGTACCAAATGGATCTGGTAGACAGCTGCCCTGGACACAAAAAGTGGCCTATGCCTCCATGGCTTTTAATGGTTTCAATGGCTTGTAAGCTGGCTTTTAGGAGCTCTTGTTGATCCAAGCAGCTCCTATTGGAAATGCATTGCTGCTCTTGTTTTGATCATTGTTGAAAATATTTTCTTGAAAGTTAAGGTAAACATACTTGCAGTAAACAAATAAGGAAACAAAAATGAATAAATGATGCACTTGCTAGCTAGCTCATTTGGCTAATCCATGGCATTTCATCCATTGCTCTGACTGAACCCTTCTGCTTAGTTTAAAAATGATTTCTTAAGTTAAGCAAACAGAGTGCTAAGTTTTAGAAATAAGAGAGAGGTTTTGCTTCATGGATATAATTTTGCAAAATCAGTCTTTGCTTTGTCTATGAATCAGGCAGACCCATTCAAATGATATTGTGAATAAGGCAGAGGATTTACTTAATTAAAATCATACCAAGGCATTTCCTATTTCATGAAAAAAAGGCAATTGCCTTCTTTCACAAATAAAGCAATTCCACTAATTCAGCACAACATCTATATAGTGCACACAATGGATAACTATGAACTAATGAGCCAAAAACTCTGCGTTGTTGTTTTATGTGAATTACCAGAATAAAAGTGACTTGCCCTTTTCCTAAACAGAAGAACAGAAATGTGTAACAAATGACAAAGACAGTCCGCATGCACATTCCAGGTAACCTGCAGATAAGCTGGAAGTTATTCTGTTATTATTATTATTATTGCAAGGGGGGGTTGGAGGGTTCCCTCCTTACTGCTTTTGCTGTCATCCCTACATATTTTGCAGCTGTGGTGTTTTAGCAATGGTGTTTCATGGAACCTGGTTGGCTACCATTTTTCTTCTTCTCTGCACTCCCTGGAATGTGGGCAGCAAGCATTCTCTCTGGTAGCCTTTGTAGAAACTGCTATTTCACTTAAACCTTGTGAGTCAAAGAGTGAGAGTAGATGTTTCTTTGTCTTGTGGCTCTCAGCCAAGGGTTCCCAGGCTGAGCACAACATGGTGGCCAACAAGACATCAATGGAGCTTGAAATGGAGCAGGCAAAGTTGCTGGTGGTGAAGGGGAACCTAGCATTTGGTTGGCTGCAACAGTATGAGTTTATGGTAACCTTCAAAGCCACCTTCAGTATGAGGTTGATGTTGATGTCTGCTACCAGTACTGTTTGTTTGTTTATCAGGTGTTTATCAGGTTGTGCCTGGCCGGGTCTCCCCAGCCACTCTGGGCAGCTTCCAACAGAATATTAAAAACACAATAAAATATCAAACATTAAAAACATCCCCAAACACTTGGGCATGTTGCCTCCTTGCATGACTTAACACATGTTTGGTGAATTGGTCAAATAAAGCATTTTTCTGTTTCTCTTCCCGTAGATGTTGCAATATTATTCTTGGCTCGCTTGCTTGAATATTGAAGAACAGGAAGAAAGAGAACTGTAGGTTTCCCAGAAGCAAAAATGTTAATTGCTCAGCAACAGAACTATTAAAGGATGCTGATTTTTATTCATTGGTGATTAAGTAAGTTTGGGGACAATGCAAACATTCATTCCGTAGGTAACTAAAATGATAACATTCAAGGAAGGTATAATAGCAAATCTTGGAGTG